GTTTACATAAGATGTAGGTTTTAAATCAGATGTGTATAACTTGTATATAGTAATTGTTTTAAGCTTAAAATATAATAAAAGTTGTACACTATTGTCTTTTCCAAAGATTAAATGATCACATCAAAAATGGATGAATTAAAAAAAAAGACACTAAGAATTTTTGAGGAGAAAACCGTCCTGTTTATATCCGATGGCATAGACCATAGTTTGGCAGATATCAGTAGAAAATGGAGGATGCTATTAAAAACTAAATTATGAATTTGTTTCTACAACAGACTATAAACTATAACATAAAAAAGTATCATAATTAGTTAAGTATTTCTCACAAAAAAAATTAAGTGTACGAAATTTTCCTATCATATTTAATCTGAGTACAGTTTAAGCTAGTTTCACAACTATTCTAATTTCTAGAATTAATGGGTACGGTTTAACTAGGAACGGTTTGAATAGTATATCCTTGATGAGTAATTGATTTTTGCATTTCCCTTTAAACAGGAAATTAGAGTACCAAATCCAATTTGAGGATAATTGAATGAAAAAACTGACCTTACTACTTATGGATATGGATGATGCTATTGTTTAAAACAAAACAAAATACTTGTCACGTCTCAGTTGAAAAACACTAACATTAATAAGATATTAATCAAGATATTAATTACATTTACAGTTGTTGGTGTTCCAACCTAGTTTTTGTTCCCAAGTATTGTTCACAATAATTTTATTTTGTTTTACTCTTAAAGATATCTTAATTTACAGCAGCAGCAAATATTATCTTACACTTCCTGTATCCTCACTCTTCATGTAATTGAGGAAATCCTTAGATAAGCCTCTTAAAAAGAGACTGGTTTATCATTACTTTATATTTATCTCTGAAAAAGTCTTAAGAGAATAAAACTAAGAACAAAATATATAAATTTATATACTATTTATTTCACAATTCTGTCGTTTACTCGTACAAGTTGATGTGTCTGTATCCAGACTTTACATTTAATACGATTTGTAGAATTAGAACAATAATTCCAATGCAACTTGAAAAGATAATGGCAATAATTCCAAGGATTTTTGCGGAAGATGCCATTTGTCTTGCCTTCCTGTAATTTCCAATTCCTTGTGCGTTTCTGCTACCTAGACTTTTCAGCAATGAGGGAAGCCCACAACACACACAAAAAAATATTGAAATTATACTCAAAATCTGAAAAGTTACACATGTTTTTCTTATTGTGGTCAAAAAGAAACAAAGTAAACTGGTAGTATTATGTAAGAATGGAAAAATTGTTTATATAAACTTAAAATCTATATCCCCACATATACATTTTCCCATTCCTTTATAAAATACTAATTCATCTTGAAAAATTTGAAACGAACATTCAAAAGATATAGAAAACTATGGTTTACTTAACAACTGAAGTTGGTTATATTGTTTGAGGTGAAAATTCTTTGGAAGTGAAATTTCATGGCAAGTTTTGCTTGCAAAAATGTTCTAGAGCCTTGTGCTTTGTTTAATAAATTTATAATTAATACTCTTAGGGTGTTTCTGGTTGCTCTTTCAACTGTCCATTTTGACGTAACAGCACTAAGCCGATTGCTTGTATCACACATCTAGTATCATCTCTGCCCACAAAGCAGACAAGCTAGATATGCTTGTGTTTCCTTTTATCGCAAATGGATTGAGGACAACATGACTGATTAAATAACTTAAAATTTATCAATTCAATTTCATTGCTGTTGATGGTAACGAAAACATGAATAATATCAAATTACTATACATTTTCTGGAGCAGTCATTAAATAAGTTGCACTAAAATCCAATAATTTCAAATTCACGACTGTTTCCCTTTTAATTCTTAAAGATCCAGGCATAAATGTGTTAAAGTAACATTAATTATCATCACTAGCGCATAATTTGTAGAAGATGATCCATATGCTCCTCAATCAGCTTGCCTTCTTAAAGAAAATCTACATGGTGTTTTAGTAGGGTTGATGGAAAACGTCTACGCAGCATAAATTATTTGTTTGTCTGGCTGTGTAAAAGAACTTAAAACAAGAATTTTCCTCTGTACAATTCTAATGTACTCTAATTACTATGGACACTGTATTTTTGAAAGGGATAGGCAACCTACCAGAAGCTTTTTCTCCTCCATAATTAATTTGAAAAGTGTATTTAACAAATTATCTAATAGCATATTTGTTAATAGTAAATAAAGCATTAGAGTATCTCTGTTATAAATGAAGTCAAAGATAATTTATTACCTATGCAGTTTACTCAATACATATTCTTTGGACGAAATACTGGTGTTTTGTTGATTACATTTATTCAGACTGTTTGTGGACGGACTTTAAAGGTTTTATTTGTTTGAGTACCTTGGCAAATTGGTAAATGATTGGAAAGGATGATTACCGATGTGACGAACCAGAAATTTCTACAATTACAATAAAACAAAGTGCAAGATATTATGTTTCTTTGATAATGATATGGTCTTTCTCTCTTTCCCTCCTTCTTACTTTTTTTGGTTCGTCTACAAGGTGAACAGTGACCAACTTTCAGGTTTACCCGGGAAATTATATATTCATTAAGTATAAAAAAAAACAACAGCTGGTCAGCAAAAATTCTGTTATTTCAAAAGTTCAGACTTCAATCGGCCATCTGTTGAAGTTATTGTATCGGCAGATAAACATGGTAATACCTAAGTTTCCTAGCATCTCTGCAGTCTTCAAATACCCCGATCTGTGTTTCTTGGTTCTGGCACTGCATACCAAAATACCAGTCTTCGAATTTTTGGTTTTCAGAGTAAAGAAAAACCTTTCATTCATCAACAATTCTTTGCCAAGATTATTTCCGCCTCTTACTGTATGAAAGTTATCATTCATTTCTATCACATGATTTTCTTCTGATAATCTAAACTTTAAGTTGTAAAAACTGCTGACTCATATACAAATGGGTGTATTTTGACTTTTCGGAATGTATGTAAATGACGAAATAATAAGATTAACTTTCAAATTGGAATAATTCACCAATTGAAACAGTTTATTTGTTTAATGCTTTGAAAGTATGTAAAAAATGGTACTATTATAATTTTCAAATGCATAAACTTAGCTAAACAGAAGTAGTAGGGTCATTTTTAAAATTTTCTGAAAAGTTATAAAAGGTTAAAGTATCTACAAGCTCTACCAAACTTTTCCAAATGTTTATTCTATTTAATCCACGATTTAACACACATTAAGCCGACATTTAATGTCTTCAATTTCTCTTTTAAGTTTTTGATTCTCAGAGTAGATATTTTGCAGCATTTCCATAGTAGTATTGTTTGTAAAAATATGACTTTCTGCTAGTGTTTTTTGAGAATCTGTGGATAAACCTTGAAAAGGTTGGAAATTATCATTGTTACATTCAACTGCCCAACAAGTAAAAATATAAATTCTTGGTATATTAATCTTTTCATAAACTTTAGTATCTTCAACATAAACAATTGTTTCAGATTGGTTAATTGGAGGCAATTTACAATTTCTTCTATTGGCATTGCTCTTTGATTTTTTATTGTATTTTCTACACAATATGGCTGACCAGATTCTAGACGAAATATTATTAATAAAGGATAAACATTTTAGAGTGATGTGTTTCCTGTCAGTGATATTCAATTCTAATGATAATTCAATTCTTAATTGTTGTACTTCTAATTGAGCTTTTTCTCTTAATTTATTAACATCATCCACAGCCAAAGCAGTTAATAAATTCATAACAATAATTGGCATAAGAAGCAAAAATATTATAAAAATGCAATATGTTGCAACTGGATAAGTGATGTGGTTTTTTTCTGATTCACTTCGATATGGATAAAATATATCTGTAAAATCAATTTCTCCCAACATCATTACAAATGTTTTTAATAAGGATTCTCCAAATGAACCAAAATCATTCTGTTAAAAGAAAACTTAAATAAATATTGAAATAGATTTTATAAAAAAGAATATTGAAACTTAATGTACATATTGTTTAAGTAAACCATAAAAACTTAAACCAAATGCAGTAATAAATAAAAGAAATACAACACAGAATTGAGAAAATGTCTTTAAAATTGTTGTAACCATAGATACGTAAATACCAAATATAGGGAAACGTCTTATCTCAAGAATAAGATTTATCCAAAGACTAAACAGTGAAATTGATCCAAGTTCCCATTGCCAATTTTTTATCTGAAAAGCAAATGTCAAAATATGACTATTTTAAATGAAATTATTTTGGAAACTTACTGTACTATTATAACATTTTTTTTCAAAATCAAATAAGATAATTAAAGGAATAATATATGTAAACCAGTCTAGAATATTTTTAAATTCCATATATTGCCATTTAAGAATGAACATCTGAGAAATCTTGCAATAGAAAAAAACATATCAAACTTATTTTGTTACAGTAAACAGTACAGACTAATTCAACTCAAGCATAGGCCTCAATCTTTCAAATTTATACAGACAAGTAATAGTAAATACTTACTTCTATTGCAATTCCAATTACTATGAAAAAAACTAGAACAATGAAACAAGTTAGAAATTTACTTGTTTTATGACAAGTTGATAAGGAAATATTGTCAACACTATTATCCTTTTCAGCTCTTAAACAATCAAAGAAATATTTCAGTTGAACATTAGACATCATTTAAATTATGTTTATACTCTGATGATGGTGTCGTTAAACTTAGAAATAAACTTGTAAATAATCCAACATATGCACTATAGAAAACTAACGACACTAGGAAATAATAAAATGATAATTTCCAATTGTAATTTAGAAATTTCTTGGTAACAATGTGCTTTAAAAGATCTCCTCTTTCATATTCAACCTATATAGATATTGCATATATTTTAAATGTTGAAAAGATGTCAAGATTGCTTTTGCAGATTTTTTGCCTATTTCACCATCTAATAGCACAGCTGACAATCACCCTTAATAAACTGTAGGTGAACTAGTACGGAAAATCTTCAAGCAAATATACATAAAATATTTTAAAAGTGTACCATTAATTGTAAAGGATTTTCCAATCTTCTTGATGCAATTCTAAACATTTGCTTATCATAGAATGAATCAGCTACAAATTCGAAATTATAAAATTTATGATAATGATTATCATCGGGTATATAACATTCTAAATAGTGATAATCATCAAAACTGTCATTGAAATTTCCATGAAAATCAGCAGGTAAACCCTGCCTAAAATGATGATTTTTACATTTGCAATTATCAAAATATAATGGTCTTCTGTAGTTAGTTTGTTCATAATCATTGTCATCAGATTCATCATCAGCATTGCTATCATGCCTCTTAAAAGAAATAAAACTTTCTTTTGTTAATAACTTGTAAATAAATTCAAATATCATGTTTATTCCGCTTAAACCCTCCTCCTCCTCTTTAAACTCTTTGTATATGATTTTTTCCCTTAATTCAGTTTCCTTCTTTTTAGGCTCAATAACACATTTATCTAAAGCAATCAAAGCCATATCTAAAATGATTTAAAAAAAAAATGCGAATTTTTATTTTGTAAGACCAAAATCAAAAATTAAAATTCTTCTATTTTTCTTTCAACCTGGCATTTTTTTAATCATCTTCTTAAACGGGCTATCAACATATGTTTTTCTTATAAAATGAAAAGTTACTTTAACTGTTAATGAGCAATGTCTTAAAAAATTTGACCATTTATCAGATTCTAGTAAAACTTTGACTTGTTCCCTTGTTAATAAAGAAAAAAGATCATCAATTAGTATCTTTTGATGAATATACAGATTTTATTACTTCATTCCTTGATCAATTAAATAATCAAGTACATTTCTTTTATCAGTTTTGGAAATTACTCCATAGGGATGAATATCATACTTCAATAGAGTTTTCAACAGTGTTAAATATCCTCTGGTAATTGTTTCAAGAACAGCTCTGGTACCCCATCCAACCTGTAAAAATTATCAGATGCTATTACAGTTTGTTTAATATAACATTTACCAAATAATATTATCCATCATAACTTAAAAAATACCTTATACCTACACTTTTAATTGTATTAATCAATTCTTTTTCTTCATCTAAAATTCACATTTATAATAGTATTTAAACTGTAATCTCCAAAGTCCTACAAAAAAAGAGATTTACCTGGCATATTACTCTTCTCTTCATAAAATATAGTACTAAGAATATAGTCTAGTATTTCATTGTGGCCTTTTTTAATTGCAATATCAATTCCAAAAGTATTATTTCCATTTGAATTAACCAAAAGTGATGTTTTAAAATTGAGTTTTTTTTTCTCAATTAGTGCTTTACACACCCTAAAGAATTCTTAATATAAATATATAAAGTATATATATATATATATATATATATGTTGTCGACATAGAGAAATACGGGACCGGTCGAAAACGGCCATAAATGAAATATTTGAAAGTTAAATTTCAGCCTGGGAAATGGTTAGGAGGAATAAGATAACTGTTGATATGTTCTTAGGAGGGTCCCATCTAAGGGTTAGGGGTATTCAAAAAGGTTAGGCAAAAACAAGGCCTGGGTTAGGGTTAGGGTAAAACCATAGATTTATGGCCGTTTTCTACCACATCCGAGAAATACTACCTTAGCTCTAAGGTAGTTTTATACTGGACAACAATTGCTGTTATATTATTACTATTAATAATTTTAAGTGGATACGACAGAAAACGTCTGCAAATTCACTATTTAATCCTAACCCTATCCTAGCCCTGGTCTCTGCCTAACCTTTTTAATTAGCCCTAGCCGCTAGATGGGACACCCTTAACTACAAATCAGTAGCTAATTCACTCCTAACCATTTTTCAATCCGAAATGTTGCTTTCAAAAATCTCACTTGCGGGTGTTTTCTGTCGGCCCCATTTTAAGTTGGTGAACGGAAATGAATAACGTAGAGTCGAAAAAGAGAATATCTTAACTATAGTTTTAGAGGATAAACGTATCATAATATTATTAGTAACGAAATGTAAACTTGGCAGTGCGCCAAGTCTAATTGTGACCGTCAACTACATAAATATATATGTATATATTACAGATATAAATATTAGAATACAAGTTAATTGAGCCCACTTTCTTTTCTTTTTACTTACTCAACATTATTGTTTTCAATGGCTATAAACATTGGAGTCATACCATTTTGATTTTTCAATTGAATTTGCACGTTATATTGCAGTAAAAGCTGACAGAGATATAAATCAGATAATATTAAATTAAATGGTGTGTTGTTCTTTTGATATCTTACTTTCATAAAAATCGGATTTTTTTTTTTAGCAGCTTGATGAGCTGGATTTTCTTTCATGCAAAAATCATCTACATGATCAATAACTTCTTCAAAATTTTCCATTTTCTCATAGGTTTCTCTTGATAGTATAAGCTGATGAAAATCGAAAATCATTTTCTATCGTATATGTATATATACAGTATAAGCATTCTAAAGAATCTTTCAACCTTGACTGTTTCAGTTAAGTCTTTTTCTATTGCTTGAGAAAGAATTGAAGAGTCTGGAAATCTTGTAAAATGATCTCTATAAAACGGAAATAGCATTTGAAAAATTTCCTCTTGGCACTCAGTAACACAGAGAACAATTGGAGATATATATGATACTGTTGTAAGTTGTGAATTATAGAATTTTCTATCTCTTTTGAATGTTGATTTCATAATTTTATCAAAGAGTTCATATCTAATTCAAAATCAAAAAAATTATTAATTCTTTCCACAATTAAAAAATGTTTACTCCACTCGTTTGTCATAAAATAGTTAATTATTTTCGGATTATGAGAAGAAATTGCATTATGAAGAAAACTATCACAACTGGGATTATCTTTAGAGTCACAAAGGATCTTAGTAAATCCTGTTAAAATGTTATTAGATCTCAAAATACATTGTAAAACAAAATACAAATTTAATATCTTACTATGCGGAAATGCTCTTTTTACAAAATGTAAATACATTTTTATTGGATATGTATTGTGTAATTTGCCCAAATTTGTCACTATAGGATCATTATCATCAAATGGATTATCTAAAAGAAAACAAAAAAATATACTGTTAATTTCATATGAATATGATTTCTTCTGTATTTGTGTTTTTACAGTGTAGTAAAAGCGGTAACCATTCACAACTATCCAAATTGAATTGATAAATTTTTAAGTTTTTTAAATTCCTCATTTTAAATAACTGAAAAATAAAATTTAAAAAGTTTATAAACAACTTTAAAGAATAAAAAAAAAAATACATCAATATCGGTGTTACTTGCTATCATATCTAATAAATATATCATATCTGCTATTCTTCTATTAGATAAATATTCAAATGTTTTATGGAAAGGTGTTGATTTTTCATGATCTGTTATTATACTCTTAATATATTCAACACTTTGATTTTTTATCAAAGAAAATAGATATTCTGATACATCAACTTGAAGGTAGCTTAATGAAATAAATAATGCTGTTCTTCCTTCGTCTCTTATTTCCTTTTAATAAGAAATATTATTCAAATCTTAACAACAACAGCCATAGTAACAACTTACAGAAAACCATTTTAAAAATCCGTCTTTACCTTTATAGTTTTCCATCAATTGAACTACACTTTCTATTATATTTTTGCTGCATGTTGTTAATACCGCTTTTATTAAGATTTTATCTCTATCTCCTTTTTCCCATTCTAATTTAAGTCTATTAGTTAAAAAATATCCAAGATATCCATACTTGTCAAGATTTGCAATAACTGTATCTGACAAGTAAAAAATAAAATAGATATTTTTTCAATATGATAATAAAGGTTTAATAAAACTATTAATACTACTTCCGGGATCTTGACAACTTGCAGAATAACTATCAATTAAGTGTACAAAAGGTAATTTGCCATTTGTATCCCTTTCATAAAAATCTATAAGAAACGAATAAATGAGAAATAGAATTTGAAAAACAGAGAAATAGAGATAGAGGGAGAAAGAGAAAAGGAGAGAAAGAATAGACTAACCAGCTCCATTTAATTTCAAAATTTTTAATAGTTTTATAGATTGTTTCTTTGCCGCATAATGTATAATGCCTAATCCAAATTTATCCTTTTTTTCAAATAGTTCCTTAAGATTTTCTTCCTCAAAATTATCTAAATAACATTTTAAAGACTTTTCTTCTTCTCTTGTAAATTTCCAGTGTTTTACTAACTGTTAAAAAAATCAGAAGGACAACTTACTATTACATAATTTCTTTAAAAAAATTAGCAACCTGGAATACTTCTTTTTCTTGGTCATTAAATATATTTTTAAAATTTTCCATTCTTCTTCTTCTGCTCAATTTGTTATCTTCCATGCAATAGTTGAAGAGTGTATGCCAAATATCATATAAATTCCATTTCTAAAACCTCAAATTTCATTGGAAACTGATAATTTATTGCCTAAAAGGTCATAAAATAGTTTTTATTTGAATTGAGCAATTCAAAAAGAAGAAAAATAGTTGAGGTTTTCTCTGATAAATAAAAATTTATCTTAAAGTATTTCTAATATATTTTGCACTCTTTACTTCTTATTTCAATCAGAGAATACTACACCAAGAGTGTCCCGTAATTTTCCACTTTTGAATATTCAAAAGGTTTAAATAAATTAAAATAATGCAGTTTATTGACAGTATTTCTTGGTTTTTTTCTTTACATATAACAACAGTATATGACATATTTCGATAATCTTAGGACTAATTGCCGATAGTGCTGAATAGATAATAATATTTGACAACCTTGCAAAAGTTATGACAGAAAAATTGACTTCGTTGTGAAAAAATTCTTGGCCAAGCCATAAAATATTCACAATAGTACATTATACGTCAACTACGCGGAATGTTATTGTTCGCGTTCTATGCTTTCGAAAAATCAAAAACAAGTTGAAAATCTTTTATAGACTGTCACAGATTTTGGATAGAGTCTTTGAACGAGAAAAATAGATAGGGATTAGTTTAGAGCAGACTGTGGCGAGATTTTCTCCCAGTTCATCTAAAGTGGTAATCTGTCTGTTGGACTGATTATCTTAAAGATATAGTTGCAGTACCTACAAAGCTATTTTTTTTGGTTCTACAACAATGGGATAATTGTTTTCTTATTCATATTTTTTTTATTTTTAAATGCAAAAATAATCCAACATATCTCATATTTTCAAGAAGACACTCATCAGAAATGTTAAAACTAACATTATTTTTTCAAACATACATACCAATATCACCTTGTTTTTCCTTTTTAAACACAATAACAACAATATTAATCGTTTTTTTTCTCACAAAAACTGTTTAAGGAAAAATTTTCACTTACGAGAATAATAAAGGTATCATCATCAGGTATGTTAAATGGACACGACAGAAAACGTCCCCAGATGCATGGTTTAACCCTAGCCCATGTCTCTCCTTAACCTTTTTGATTATCCTGACCCCTAGATGGAACCCTCCTTAACTACAAATCAATGGCTACTTTACTCGTCCTAACCATTTTTCAATCCGAAATGTTGCTTTTAAAAATCTCACTTGGGGACTTTTTCTGTCGGCCCCATATTAAAGAAATATGTAATTTATAAAATTTCATTAAAGACTGAAAACACTTTTTGGCTGATTTCAATAGAATAAAAACAGAATTAATATTCAATTTTTTCCGGTTGGTAGACTAACATCAGTTTTACAAAAGATATTTGATATTTGAAAGTAGCTTCACTTTATAAGAAATTCATGTTTTATATATATACAGTATAGGCAAAAAGTTCCCAGTCACCTTGTAAAATTTCGTTTAAAATTTATGACATTGAGGAAATTAAAAGATAAAAATTATTATAATTGATATAGAAGACACTACCCACAGTTTCCATGTATTAACGCCACCCTTAATATAAAAACCTTCCTTGAATTCAATAGGTATGTTTCTCCTATTTCTTCCACATAAAAAAAATAGTTACCAATAAATGATAAAGGTATTGAAGTTGCCAAATTTGATGAGATTATTATTAATCCAACTAGTAGTATTTTCTTTAATATCATTTTACAAATTTCTTTTGATAAACATGATTTGTTTTATTTATTACTGAATAAATATCCCAATAAAATATCAGAATAATTAAACCATTTAACAATCCAAAAAGTGACAAAATAATGAATGTATATCGACATCCATTTTGTCTTTCATTCGTTAAATATAATAAAAAACACAAAGAATATATTGAATAATAATTCTGTTAGAGATTTAAAGAACTACTCAATGTCGTTTTTTTTAAATTTTTATGATCAGATTGATGCTTGGAAAAGAGAAAATTTGACGTTGATCAACTTTCTTAGAAGACAAAATAACTATTTTATTTTTGCATATCTGTTTATTATTGTTCAAAAAGAAATTAAATCCTATCAGACTAATTTCATTGCAAACAGTAGACATTTTTTTTAATTATAATTTGATTTTCTAATTTAAAAGTAATGTTTTGTTTGCAAAAAATATATGAAATACTGAATGAAGGGGCAAACCTGTCTCTCTATCAGTAAATACTTATTTATTAGAATATCTACTAAACAAAAAACTGTGAATTTAAAAAAGTAAAAGTTAAGTATAAGTCTTGTCTTTTTTCAATTTTTGAACAGCTGATGCATGCATTTTCATTTGAATTTTATCGTACTTTTTCCACAGTTTTATTTTTCAAAAATGTAATAATCAACTGTTCTCACAAAGTTTACTGTTTATTTTTGGTTGTGGCCTAGAAAAAATCAGGAACGGGAAAGTTGTCTTCTTTTTGGAAAAGCCATCCACTTTTTGGGAAAACTTCTCGTCTCTTTGAGAGAACTTTTCCCCTTTTTGCAAAAGTAACTGCTTTAATTTTAAAAGAAATAGAAAAAAGTATATATAACATATTCAATCACTTACAAATAACAAATTATTCCAATCCAAAAAACTTCTTTGCTCACTTTTAGTTGGAATTATGGATTGTTTTACCATCTGTTTTTCCAAATGTACCATTTCAAGGATGTGTTCTCCACTGGACACAAGCAGTTTTCAGGAAAATCCAAGTAATTTATTGTAATACATATTTAAATTATAAAATAATTCCATGTTTTTAGAAATAATAAAGAAGCTAAAAATATGATGAGGAAGTTATCAGCACTTCTTTTTCTTCCATCTCAGGTAATTCGACCTACTTTTTCATCTTTAAAAGAAGCTTTGAAGAAAAATTTATATAAAGATTTGTATGACTGTATAGAAAATACTTGGATTAGAAATTCTATTTGGACTCCAAATAGTTGATCGTTTTTGGAATGAACATTCGCACATATAATAATGTTGAAGCATGGCATAGACAACTTAATGAAAAAAGTTTGCAAAATTCTTGCTTCTACATATTAGTTTATTACTTGAAGCAGGAGGCTTCTTTAATTTCAGTTTTCCAAAAACTTTTAAGAGAAAAGAAATTAAAAACATATAAAAAACAAATGACAATAACAAAACAAAAGAAAATTTTTGTTATATGGAATGAATATAACTTTTGGTCAAATAACTGCATTTGATCTAAATGCACTGGAAATAAGCTATTGTTTTTTTGGTTTGTTTTAAATATTGATTATGTCATTGTGTATATGAGAAAATTTAGTTTTAAAAAATATTGTTTAACTAAAATACTAGACTTTTGTTTTTAAATGAAATTTTATGAAAAATAAAGTGTATTTTCAAGTTGTATTTCATTACTTACAGCATTTTCCTTCAAGTAGGCCAATATGAATATAAATTAGAGAACTAGTATAACCAGCAGTATAGTGGGTTTCATTATTCAAATAGCAAATTTTATAGTTTTTTTTGAAGTCAAGAGATCTTAAAATATCATTACAAAGTTTTTTGTGAAATTCTTTTTAGATTTTCTCTTATGAAATCTTACTTGCAATCGTCAGTTGCATAACACAACTCTAAGCAAGAATTTAATGAACCAGTATAGGCCTTAGAGCTTCCATTAGGAAAAAGTTTAATGTCATATCCTGGGATTGATGCGTTCAGTTTCTCATATAGACAATCTATAAAAAAGAAAATTGAACTTTAACAAACAATGCTCTATTTCAATAAATTAGAATTTAACAAAATTACTCACTGGATGGAAAACTTTCAATTTTAGTGAAAAGAACACAAATATAAATTATTATTAAAGGTATGGGAAAAAGTAGAAACACCTTCATGTTGAAGTTATTAGACAGTTTGATGACAGCAGTGAAAATCCTGAAATATATCAGTACAAAAAACAAATTTTTTTGTTCATTCTAATCCATTGTTCATCCTAAATTATATATAAAAAATCAAAGGAATATAGAAAACTGAAAAATGAAAGAATCTTTACATTTTTTTCAATATCATCGAATTATTTATTATATAGAGCACTTGAAAATGTCTTTGATGTATTTTTTCTTCCTTTTCTAATTAGTTTTATTTTTACATTCCATTCATATATTAATTGAATTTTGAATTTGTAAGGATAGTCACTTTTTTTGATGAAATAAAAAAAGTATATTATACTTAATTTTTTGTTTTAAGATGAATACTTACATAGAAGTATTTATTATTTAACATTTACAAATATAATTAGGCTAGTGACGTCATCAACATTTCAATTTGCGGTCTTTGACAAATGGAATGTTTTATTTGAAACTTCAGAAGGAATTATATTGAAAATCAATTGAGTAGTTGTCATGTGGATGTTGTTTATAAATAACATTATATGTTATAACTGGTATAATCAAAATTAATTTTACTTCATCATTTATGAAATTTACCCATTGTGGGCGAAATCGTACCTGGATGAAATTTTAACTGTCAACATGAGAAAATCAAAAAATGAAATAATTAATTTATTTGTTTTAACAAATATGTGATATACAAGTACCAGTTTTTTTCAGGTCAGCCATTTGGAATTTGTTTGTTGATTACTTGATAAGAGAATCTTGAAATAGTATTATAAATATTTGTTTTAAAGTTTTCTGCTGCTTTTCAAATAATAAATTAAACATTTCAAATCTGCACATTTTGAAATATGGCAATCAAGTGCAAAAATTGCAAACTTACAGTTTATGGAAGACAGAAGAGAAAATTCTGTTTGCTCTGTAATGAGCTTCTTCATGAAAAGTGTATCATCAGTAAGAATTTTGTAAATCATCTTCATTCATATTGTAAATATACAATTATTTCCTTTCAGATTCCAGGCTGTCAGTTTGTCTGGATTGTGAAAAAAGACAGTGTCTTCTTCAAATGACAAGACTAGAAGATCAAGGAATGAAAGAAAGAGTTGCTTTGGATGAGAATGAAGATGAAAAGATTGATGAAGAGACAACAGATAACAGAAAA